TAATAATTTTAACAAATAAATTAATGATGATAATCACACCTGAAAAGAAAAGAACTATTCATCTTCCAAAATTTCATTGTAATTATGGCCTAAGGAGAAGGCAACTTTGTGACAATGCGGAAGGCAACTTTGTGAATATATGTTTCCATGCATTTTTCCATCTCCGCTGTAATTGAAGTTTTCTTTTCTTTTCTTGGGTTTCCACTTGTATATGAAGTTGATCCCAAGTCAAATTCTTCATTTATAATTTGTGAAATTTGATATTTAAATCTTACAATAAATGTGTAAATAAAAAAGTCAACTTTGCATTTTTGTTATTTAAGGATATTAATTTTACTAGTTTTTAAATAATGATGTTAATTTTTTTTTTTATTTAAGGATGTCAACTTTCATCTTTTTTTATTTTATGATACTAACTTTCAACTTTTTCTATTTAAGGATAAATTAGATGATAAGTTGATAATGCCAATGTGACAAACATATTTTTAAATTGAAATATTGAAAGTTGATATTTTTAAATAAAAAAAATTAAAAGTTGATATCTTTAAATAGAAAAAGTTAAAAGTTGATATCTTTGTTTAAAAATTAATAAAATTAATATTCTTAAATAGAAAAAAGTATAAAATTAATATATTTATTTACACATTTTTTCTTAAATTTTAATACAAAACTTACATTTAATCTAAAATTAATTAATAATATGTGAAAATTGATATTTGAATTCTTATATTTAACTCAATTTTTTTTACTATTTATTTGATATAAGATTTTCTCACTTAACATAATTGACTTTGAATAAATGTTTCCATATATTTTCTAAGTCCGCTTCTATTTGAGATTTCTTTAGAATTGACTATTTCCAACTACAGTGTTTTTACCCTACTTGCATATATTTTGAAATTAATCTCTTTTTAATGATCTTAATGATATACCCTCACATTAACACACCATGTATTTAAAGAAAATAAATTTTATTAACTGATGACTCTAAAACTTGAAGTTGGACGTAACCCTCTAAAATTGATTATTTACCATTAGATACATATTTCTTAAGATTAATCATATTAGTGGATGTTTAACGAATATATATTACCTGTTTACCACCTCCTTTTAGGAATACGTAGTATTTCTTTTCTTTTCTTTTCTAATCTAAAAGAAACTAAACATTCTTAAGAAACATGTACTCCTGACTTCTTAATTAGTTTTTCAATTTTGTCTTATTTTTATGTTTTAATCAACTAATAATTATCACTTCGATCGAATTAGTTTCTTTTTATTGCTCCAATCAAGTATTATTTTCAATTGCACGATAAGAATAGTCATTCTTCCAATGAATACTCTCTCACGGCTTGACTTTTGTCAAATTAGGTCCCATACTCTGCTCGCTAGTTTTAATTACTTGAAAGAGCATATATATCTATGACTTCTGATTGCAATTCCGAACAGGAAAATAAGAAAGAATATATATAGAAAGGACACCTATAATCTGGATACATTCTTTAATGAAATTGCTTGGGAAGATGATCTACTATAAAATAATAGCTAGAAATGAAGCACATCTCAACGTAATAGAACCATGCCCGTCGCCAATAAGGATTTATGTAGAGAACTGCAGCAATAGTTATGAGCATCATTATGTAAGACACAATTAAACTCACATAGAAGACACCCATATCGATGAAACCATCATCTTCTCTACCTGGGGTTGGACTTTCTGGGATCAATGGTGGACTTGTTGCTCTGCAACTTTTCATTGGCTCCCCACAAAGCAGAGGATTACCCTCATAACAACGTTCATCAAATGTTCCAAATTGTCCGACCCTTTTCGGTGTCTCGCCTGATAGGTTGTTGTATGCCACCCTAAAGGTAGATAAGTAATGCAGCTGAACAAGTTGGGGAGGAATTTTCCCACTCAAATTGTTGTAGGAAAGATCCAAGCTCTCGATTTGCTCAAGGATAGAAAATGTAGATGGAATTTGACCAACCAAGAAATTATGAGACAGGTTTAGGACATGAATCTTACTAAGCTGTCCTATTGCATAAGGAATTTCACCGGTCAGTTTGTTGCAGGACAGGTCAATTCCAGACATGTAGGTAAGAAGTGTTCCCTCGTAAGAATATGACACATTCTTTGTTGTGAAGTGCACTGGTTCTTTTGTAGGAACAAGAGATGCATTACTACCACGAACAAGAGATGCATTACTACCACGAACAAGAGATGGACCAACATTGTATGACTCATCAAAAGTAGTAATATCTAGGCAAGAGGGTATATGGCCAGAAAGATGGTTCTGAGATAGATCAATCAAGCACAATCTCCGCAACTCGCATAGTTGAATTGGGATATTACCTTCAAGATTATTGTTCTTCAAGATAAGATAACTCAACTTACCAAGCATATTGATGTAATTTGGGATGTTACCACTTAACTGGTTGTCACTAAGATCTAGCGTTATTAGAGAAGAGCTGTTACAAAACTGTGTTGTCAGTGATCCTTCTAGCCTGTTTTTGGATAAATGAACATGATTTATCATACTTGGGTTGAAACAAGCTGGTAGACTCCCCGAAATATTGTTATTTGAAAGGTCTAGAATTAAAAGATATAGAAGCTGACAAAAGTCAATAGGAATTGGACCTTCAAGACCATTATTGGGCATGATAATTTCTTCCAAGGTTGAAATATTACCCATCGAGCTTGGGATCCTTCCAGAGAGATTGTTGTTGCTAAAATCTATTAAATACAGAGAGGAGCAATTAGATAAAACTTTTGGGATACTTCCAGAAAAGTGATTGTCATTCAACTGTAATTCATCCAAGAGGAATAAGCTAAATTTCCCATAGAAAATCTGGCCTTGTAGGTTGTTGTTTGATAGAATAAGGAGCCTCAATGATGAGCAACCCATGGTTAACTTCTCAGGTATTCCACCAGATAAGTTATTGTGAGATAAGTCTAAAGACTCCAACACATTCATATCACCAATTGAAGGAGGAATGCTACCAGTAAGAGAATTTCCTGAAATGTTTAAATCTCGTAAACTTGGCAAAGATGCTCCAATCTCC